TGCTCTCAAACCATTTATGACGTGGCTTGATTCTAGCAAATCATGCCGGAACCATTTATGACGTCACTTGATTCTAGGAAATCATGAAAATTTTCATGATTTTTTTATTCATTAGTTCCCAGAATGCACTTCTACAGTGGTATACGCTGGAGTGTATACGGAGGAGTTGTATACGATGACGATATACCACTCTCCACTGTATATCGTTGTTATAGACCCATGTTATACAACTGTAATTGGACTTAGAGTGGTATAACAAGACTTGCCCTGTAGAAGTATATGATTTGGCAGATTTAATAATGCTCAGTTTAAGTTTAATTTGTCCTACCATACACTATATACAATACATCTATATGTGAAGAGAGGTCTGGTGCCATTGGCATATATGGAATATGATCACATTGAAGCTGTATAATAACTGATTACTTAAAAATATTGTATTTCCTTAAGTGATGGATTCATAAAACAGGAGATATATCATGTAATGTAATCCAATTTAATGCAGCCACAGATGCACAAAGATTTTCTCAACAGTATTGTATATTTCATATTTTGTAAGAATGATACGTGTCAGACATCTCCTTCTCCTCTGATCATATTTGAATAAAGGCAAGTAAAACGAGATGAACTAATAAAATATATTGTAAATGCGTTACGGGAAGACCAGTGAATATCTTTTATCTTTATATTTATTAAACTAACTCCAATACATACATATCATTATTGTAAAAATATACTGTTACTTTCATTGCAAATAAGGCATTTTTGGCAAGAAAAATTCCCATACAAGAAATTCCCAAGGATTTTTGACTTCTCTCATATATGAGCGCTCTTTGTAATGGGTTACAATTTCAAAAGTGCCTTGGGCAATTATTACGGACAATATGGAGGACAATATTATTCACTGGTCTTCTCATAACACATGCATAATTTCCTTTACTTTTCACTCCTTTGAAACGAAGGTTATTGAACCCTGCTTTTTTACATATATCTTACTCTTTAAAGGAAGAGAATTTCCTCTACAGGAACAACATTGATTGTTATTTGCAATTGAATGATGGGCTGCACTTTTAATGTAACATTGTCACAGTCAAAAGCACTTCCTCAAGAACTGGCTCATTTGAGCTACTGCTTCATATTATATTTCTGTGGAATGTATAGGCTTTGTGTTTCACTGTCTGAAAAGAAGATCTGTACTAAAGGTCTTTTGATGGTATAAGTAACACAATTTTGTTAATTGAAATGAATATATTTGAGCCTCAACATAGGAAAACCAGTCTTAGCACAGATTTTTTCAATATTTTGAATTTTTGTTTATCTTTAAAAGCAAATATAGACTTTTCAAACGAGCCATGGCTTATGTCTCAACAATTTTTCCTGCAGATATAGACCAAAAAGACGGATTTGAATTTAACACATTTTCATCTTAATCTTGGGCACATTTTTGACTCTGTAGCAGAATTTAAATTTTTGGGAAAATACCAATTTTCCTCTGCCGAGGCTCATTTAGAGCTTATTTAGGATCAGAATTTCAGTCACCATCCCTTTAAATGGAGAATGAGAGACAAAAAATGAATTCAGATTTGGAAATTCCAAATAATCTTATTTTTTCATTTTTCTGATTGACATAAGAATGAAATGAAAGTGAAATATCTCGTAGCAAATAGGTTTTAGGTAATATTTGGATTACAAAAATAAATATGTGTAGTATTCAAATATAGGGACCATTAAAGGGTGACGCATATCGTTTAGCAAATCGAACGCTCATTTTTGGTGTTGCTAACCATTAGATATAAAAGGTGCGATCCCGGAATAACACTCAAGGGTTCACAGGTTGAAGTTATTGCGTAAACACTTTTATAAAAGGGACATTTTTATTTTTGACAAATCAATTTCACATTTGATGGCTGAAGTTTCAAGATTTTCTATTTGTGTTTAATAGGAAGAAAATACATGTACATGTAGATTTACCGATCATGTATTAGTACATACCATGGTCTTATGAAATGAATTTACAAAACTCCCCTAATTTCTTAAAAATAGACTGATCCAGTAAATAGCCTGGAGCCATATTGTTTTTATACGGCAAGCTTATCGTAACCCTTTAAGTGTTCATGCTCACTATCAACTTTTTCAATTGTTTAATTGCTTTTAAAAATGAAACAATTCAGATTATTTTACTTTTTATTGTGTCTAGTCCACTGTTGCTTCATATTCAAGTATTTCGCACTGAATATGTATAAGCAGGCACTGGCAGAATATTTGGTATGTGAATTTATGATTCGTTTCAGGCCTAATTTACATACTTTTCTCCAAGCTGCTTTAGAGCAGAGGTTATCAACTCAAAGAAAGTTGCCAAATGAATAAAGAATATATTGAAAATTAAAGAAATTAGAGATATATTATGAGAACTTTATGATCAACCCTCGTATGTGTCAAGAAAAAAGTGCAAAATACTCGAAATAACAACGGAATGACTGTTAATATATCTTGTGCTTGATGCAGTCACCTTTTCTAGAAATCTGTAATTGTAATACACGTTATAGTGGTTCTTGAAACCTTTATGAATTTATCAAGGAGCTTCAAATATTTCAGATGAATTTCTGTATTTGATCTTAAGAATCGGAAACTCCTTAAATACTAACAAGCGTAATGATGTTGTAATCTAGTGATCTGGGTTGATTTCATTTGCAAAGAGATATCCCATATTTTATGGTTTAAGTGTCAAGAATAATGCCAAATACTTTGTGGGTTGGAATTATATGCAAATAGAGAACTTAATGAAGATTTAAGTTGCAAGAATGTCTAAACGATAGGTATTTGTATGGTGAACTGAATTCAACAATGTTTTTCTCTTAAACCAATTATTGAAAACATTCTTTAAAAAAACATGGTCCTTTTTATAACGTTGACTGATTGGCAACAATTTAATGCAAAAATTATTTTTTATATAACTGTTTTTGTTAACATTTTTTGTTGTTTTTAGTGCAATTGTTTTTATTCCTTTCTACCAATTCTTGAAAATGAAATAAAATGACTTTCCTAACCTTGTTGGAACAAAATAGGATATTCAACATGTTTTTAGACCTCTCAATATTATAGTTATTACAAAGGAATTTTTGGTTGATTTTAAAAAAGTATTCAAAAAATTAAAACAAAATCCTCCCAAAATAGATAAAAATCAAGATAAACCTTTTATTTCATTAACAAGATACTTTTTAAAATCAACCAAAATTTCCTTTGTACAATTACAATATTGAGAGATCTAAACATGTTGTGTTTTTTTGTCGTTTTGTTCCAATGAGGTTCTGAAAGATGTTTCATTTCACTCTGGAAAAAGTTCACCATATCGATACCACTCCTTTATTTGGAACAAAAATGATGTCCCTTTTTGCATTTTTTCAATTTTTAAAATAATTTTTCAATTTCTTGGACAGATAACCATAGGTTAAAATTGAAGGACGTATCCTGAAATAAAGTCAGAACTGGAAATATAACTTGATAATGAGTTCAGTCTTGCTTTCCTCAAGGGTTGCTGATTGAACTTTAGAAGTGGTCACACTTTGATGAATAGCCCACTTCAAAGCATGCATTATTGAACAGACTTTACTTGATATTTAACAAGATAGATCAATCACAGGCAATGATATTGACATGCTCCCTGGAGCATATTGTACTTTATTGTACGTCAGAAACTGGAATGAAATTGAGAGTATACCAGTGGGTCTTGGTCGTAATGAAGTAGCTTAATCAAACTATCAGCTTGACAGTTAATACTAATTTAATTTATGAAATATTTGATTACTATGCCACACTTAACTCTCATTTAGAAGCTTATTCTATTACAAAACCTATAAAAAATAAGACGTTTACTGATCACAGGATGGGGTAATGTGCACATTTCGGGCCAGAGAGCAACTAGTAGTTTAAGCATGTAGGAAAATTATAGCCCTAATGGGTACCCTCTGATACCAGAGAAATTTTTACTCTTGAATATCTTAATATTAAATAGTTTATGTTTGGCTTAGTGAATTTGATAAACAGACCAATAGCACACATTGCAAAAAATAATTTGTGCAAAGTTAAAATTCCAGCATAAAAACATGACAGATATATCCATATTTAAAACACAAAGTGCTCATCAATACTGGCTACCAAGATACATGGTCACTAGTCTCCCTATTTCAGATTTCGGGGGCTATGCAATTGGCCTTTCCAACATTGTCAGGGTGACCTTTCCCACATTGTCAGGGTGGCCTTTCCCACATTGTCAGTGCAGCCTTTCCCACATTGTCAGTGTGGCCTTTCCGACATTGTCAGTATGGCCTTTCCTAATGGTCTTAGATAAAACATGCTCTAGATCCTACAGGGATTTTATTTGAGACACAAATATCAGATATTCTAGGTTTTCAGATTGTAAATGATTGTAGAGTTACTGTAAAACCTGTTCTAGGGAACACTTGTCTGTCTGTCATACCCCTTTACATGAAAAGGCTAGTGGGGACTACCTTATTAGTTTTCAGATTCGCCCCTGAATTTTACTTGTAGATTCTTCAAGCAGATTCATTCCAGATCATATATAGATCTTCTGAAAAAGATGATAACTTGCACTTATGTGTATAATGGCAAGTCTTATAGTCCAGAAAAGAAAAGTATAAATGTCAAACTGAACCGTTGCTTTTCTAGAATGAATTAAAGACATGTTTCTTTGATCTCATAATTACATTTCTTCACATGGTAATAAAGGAAAATGCAATTTCTGGTAAGTCAACATATACAATGGTGAATCTAAATTTTTTGTTGATCACATTGACATTGCGTGTCTGACATCTAGATCAGAGAATAATTTTTCTTATCTCTGAAATATGAACGTTCACCTGCCATAGACACCATAGTATTAGTTGTAAAGAGGGTTAAGGAAATCTAAAAAATGTGTTGGAATCAAACCTCAGATAAGTTGTAGTTCCCATGTTCAAAATGTAGTTGTTCATAAAAATCAGGCTAAAAAGTATGTTGGCTTAACTGTTGATGGCAGTGGACCTGTCATTGTAGAAGTTCCTAATAATGATGTTAATGAACCTGATGTACAAAATGAATATACTTGTGATGATGACTGCATGGCAGATTCAGAGGATGAATGATTTGTTCAATGATGACTGCCTCTGATAGTGAGGGGGAGGATATGGTAAATTTAAAATTCAACAATAATGTGTTGATATGGATGCTAAAGATGTGAACAACAACTGAATAGAAATAAAACAACTGAATAGAAAGAAAAATACTGACTGCATTAAATTATGTCTGTTTCTTTATTTTGACTGTGTCAAGTGTGTTATAATTTGTCGAGTACAAAACTAAATTTGTCCAGTGAAAATTTCATATGTCAAGTGCTGATTTTTGGACACTTTACAAAAGGTTTAGTATTAAAAAAATCCATTATTATAATACTGATCTAGATAATATGATAATACAGTATTTTGACTGTTTACTGAACAGTATTTTGACTGTTTACTGAACAGTTCCCTCTGGAAGTTTTTATTTATTCAAAAGACCATGTGCAGTATGGCAATTGATTTTAGACGGTCATATCTTTCACCATGAGTACTTTCTGGGCATAAATACAGTGGTTTTTAGTATGTTTTCTTTTAAGTGAAGTCCCCATGATTATAAAAATATCAATCGAACAATCGAAAACTTATTAATATGGACCCCCTGTCAACATTTTTATCAAAATATTGAACCAATTTACTCAAAAGAGGATCTCCCTTTTCTGATTTTTATTGCATGAAAAGATTATTCAACAAGGGACATAAAACTTCTTCAAAAGCAGAATGGTATTTAAAATTTAGTTTTGAAGATATCAATTTTCAATGACCAAAATTATGCTGAAATCAATGAATAGCACAAGTTTTCCCTATGGGAAAATAACATGGGGTATGTGGTTTTTTAACTTTAACGCATTTCAGTACCCATCCCCTTTTTAGAAATTGTTAATATAATGAAAAGGAGACTTTAGACATTGAGAAAAACACGATCCTCTTTTTAGAAAATAAGCCTCACAATTTTTAAAAAGTGCCAGGGTGGGGCCCCAATCCATAATTTTTCAGCGAGTTGGAATGATATTTTACTATCATGGGGACTTCACTTGAAAGAAAACATTGTTTTAATAAAAACCACTGTATTTATACCCAGAAAATACTCACAGTGAAAGATATAACTGTCTAAAATCACTTGCCATACTGCACATGGACCTTTGAAATTCAAGATTGCAGATATTTTATTAGAGAAGTATAAATCTGTTGTTCTCGCTTTTGAGCCTGGGTCAATTAAAGTTATTATAGTTTTATAAAACAATGTGTTTTTATCGTACAGAAAAAGGTACTGTATAGTATATAGCTAGGTGCCTGGTAGGCAAGTGTTGGTGGTGCTGTCTCTATTTCCCTGTCCCTTTCTATTTATTTCCATGCTCCTTGTTACCCCGGCTCTGTTTATCTAGTGCTGAAAAGGCTGAAATTAGGAGGACATTCTGAAGCTGGAATAATCCTTACACAATATGATCTGGAGCTGCCATATTAGATTTTTGGATTCCAAAACGGGCATCTCAAAATTTGAAGTGAAAAAAAATTAACAGAGTCGAAATTTATTTATTATTAAAGGACAACTGAAATAGCTTTTCTCAACTTGCAGCTTCAAAAATGCGGTTTTCTCCATTGTAAGCCCAACATAGAGTTCTTGTGATAACCATTATAAAATAAATGTTAGATAAATGCTAACGGTCATAGATAACGAAATAAAACTAACTGATCAATCAAATTGGCCCCCACGTGGTTAGTAACGTCATATACAAAATATAGCTTTGGTTTATTGGTTCCTTAGTAATCACAACATCACGGCAACCATATGGTTGTTGTGTAAACAAATAACAAAACATTTTGGGATTATGACGTCATGATCTAATGGACCAAAATGGGCCACGTGGGGACCAGTGAGAGATCACGTGGGGGCCAATAACGTCACAACCAATTCGAATATTGCTTATTTAGCAGCTATAACGATCGTTAGAGTGAAATAATTTTCACACTACTGATGAGAAAACATGTCCAAATACATTCATCAAAAAATTACATTGATTCCTTTAGGTTAAGAATACCATTTCATATCTGCTTTAAAGTGTTAAGTCTTAAAAAAGTACACCCTAAAGACCTATTTGGCATACACTTCTGGTATAACTAGCCTTAAAATGGCCATCTCAAGCCGTAATAGAGAGTATGACCTCCCAGAAGTATTTATCATTCATGTACAACTGACAACAGTAACAGACAAGGTTAGCACTAAACAAATGGAATATATCTAATATAGTCAACTATTTATGAATACATTTGACTTGTGTTTTTTGTTAATGTAATTATTACCAAGGGAATGGTATCAGCTTCATTAGGTATTAAGAATGATTGTAATTAGTTAATAACCAATTCATGGATTATAAAATTATTATTTTGTTAATGACATTTAGCTTTATTGTCTATTATAATTACAATAATTTCTCAATTTAGATTCCTCAGCTAACATTGTAATTGTTGCAGTTGATTGATATACATCTAATAATAATAATAAAGATTATCATATTGAAAATATACAATTCCTGTTTACCTGAAAAAGCAATTTCCAAAATAGGTGATAAAAGTTTTAATTAAGATATGATATTTTATTTCTTTGTATTTATAATCCAGCTTCTACAAAACTGGGAGCCAATGTCATATTTAAAGGTCAAAGTCAGTCTGCATATTTTGATTCTTGAACCCTTGCAGGCCCGTAGCCAGGGGGGGGGGTTCGGGGTGTTCGGGCGAACCCCCCCCCCCTGGCCAAAATTTCTTTCAAAATCATGCAGTTTTTCACCATTCTGACTATTTATTGAGTGATTTTTGGCCAAATTTGCCAAAGTGAACCCCCCCCCCCCTTGAATTTTTTGGAAAAGTGAACCCCCCCTTGGAAAACTCTGGCTACGGGCCTGCCTTGTCATGGACTGACTGATACAAAACTATGAGCCTCATCTAAAATGTGTTACAGCCTTGTTAGTGACTGGACTGATTGTTGTAGTTTTAAAATAGCTGACACAAACAAAGCATTATTGAAAACACTGGAAACTTGGGTAAATAGAAAGAATCATATAATGAAATGCTTTTATTTTTATTTTTAGATAAGATCAAATCTACATGTATAGTATCTTGTATTCCATGTGGTAAAGATTATTGTGGTATTTTAGAAGAAAATCATGTCTAATTTATTCATATTTCTCCATTTTTATTTTTCAGGACCTCATAAACTTTTCAAAGTATCAACATGGTGAAGCTTCATGTCAGTAAATGTGCTGTATCTTTTTATGCAGATGTTTATTTAAGGATTTAAGCCCTGGACTCAATGTAATGTGGAAAGGTATTCCTTGAAGGTGTTGCTTTCTGAGTGTTAATTTCAGGAGAGAAAGCATGGAAGGAATGGTCATCACACGATGCATTGAGTCTTGACTTAATTCTTTTCACAAATTGCAAAATATTTACTACAAAATCACTAAAAGATAATTTCAATGAAAAGTTTTGCAAAGGTCAAGCTGGCAAAGTATTAATTTCAATCTGTAGAGTCCAATCATCATGACAACAGTTTAACTAGTGACCTTGAATTCGTTATCAGTTATAATGGAATGCAGTTACATGAAATAGCTTGTTCTGATTGGCTGGGAATAGCTTGTTCTGATTGTGCATAAGTGGTAGAGCCTACATACGTTTGTAAATGTACCATATGCACTTCATTCAGTATCTACAAGTCATCCATCGCATCATCAAATATATACAGTATGCACAAAATCCTCTTCTTAAGCTTTTCTATTTTCTTTAGCATTATTTCAAGAAGGGAGAGATAGTTAGTTCGTACTCTACAGAAAAAAGCACCGAATTTTCGAAAAGGATTCCTATTGTTTGGGACCACCACAAACCAAAAATAGGATCTGAGATACATTTTATCCAACACTGTCTGATTTATACTTATAAACCAACTGAATTGTATACATGCTTACTGAAAAAGAAGAAATGTTTAACCAATATGTTGCTATAGCAACCATCATCTAAGTAAAAAAATGTGAAAAAATGGCTTAGGATAACATGATAGGGATACAATTAATATAATCTTGATATTTTAACCAAAGCCAGGGGTTTCACAAGATTTTTTCACAACATCTATAAAAATGAAAACAACTGGAAAAATTAATGAAAATCATGAATTTTACATGAGAAAGTTGACAACAGGTGATTTTGTGAAAACAACCGGTGAATATTGCCTATTGCCTGCTGTTTATGAAACCCCCTGAAAGCTGTGTACGTGCCCGCATCTTTTAGAAAGAGATTTGCATTTTTCATGTGCCCACATCTTTTTAGAGATTTACATTGTTCAGTTGATGAAAAATAGCAATTTTGCAATTCACATTTATAATTCTTATTCACATTCAATTCCATGTGTTATTTATATGAGCCTTCAAGGATTGTGTTCAAATTTACAACTTATCATCATTGAGAATTTGAATTTGCATTTTGCATGCAACATATCAATGTATCATAGCATCATGGATAGTAGGAAGTTCTACTAAGCTGATTATGAAAGTGAAATTCCCATTTAATTTTTTCTATGGCTATTGCACATGCCTTTGATTGGTCCATCTGTGAAAATAGGCTCAAATAAGGCCTACAAATGAATAATTTTCTACTACCTCATTTATAATATGGGACATATACACAGTCTCCTATCCTACATTTATTGTGGTGGTCTCCAAAGCCCCATTTATAATGACAGGTCTTTTTTGATCTCTTGTGTTTCCAATTGGAGAAAAGACCGCCAGTCATTCGGCGGTCTTGATAGGATTTTTAGATCAGACTTCACCAGACTTTTCTCACTCCGATCAGTCTTTTAAAAAATCACACACAGGTCTTTATCAGACTTTTTTTGTTAAAATATTTTCATGTGATACTTCCATGGTAACACGATGCAAGAGAATTTTATTGGAATCGGCAGGACTCCATTAGACTCGACAGGACTCAGTCAAACTCTACAGGACTCTATCTGACTCAAAAGGTCACAGGAGGCCATGTTTGGTTATCAAGCAAGACAATTTTGATCTTCATAGAATCTATAAAACTCAAACAGTCTGGTAAAAAGAGCTATCAATGTAAACAGGGCTTAATGAAACATGAAAACCATAAGTTTTAATGTTAATCACATATATAAGATTTATTGAACTAACATCCAATAATATCCAAAATGCATGAAAAACTAGAACCCTCAGGCTGATTAATGTCTAGAATAAGCTTTAGTAATTTTGTTTTCTCGACACAAAGTGCTTTTAATGATAACTATTCCAATATGCCCATTATGTACATGGTAAAATATACTATAGTACTATTGTCAAGGTTGACAACTTTTTTTATCGTATGATCTGTAAAATGAAGCCCTCTGATTGGTCAGTTTGTGTACTGTACCAATCTGTATTGCTACTGAGATTGTCCCCATTTATCACCTCCATAGCAATACAGAAAATATTGGTATGGAATGGACAATCTCAGTAGCAATACAGAGTTAATACAGAACATTTCCAAGGGATTATCTCCTAAGTAAAATGTATTGGCCTAAGATCACAAGATAAAACGTTATAGAATGATTTGGAGTGCAATGCAGGATATATTCTGTTCCAGAAATTCTGTATTGGCGCGAGACAAAGACGAGTGCAAATACAGAATATGGAATAACTTTAGAGTATCATACAGAGGATGCACTCTCCACTTTGGCGTATGCTGTATTGCCATTTGAACGCCTTCCTTTAGTACTATTGCGTAAAAACTCAGTCATTGTTAGTTTGCGACTTAACCGGTTTCTTTTACCATCATTGACTGTATGATGAGAGTTTCCTTGGCTGATGGAAGGGTTATTCCTTTCTCTGTGACCACAAAGCACATATACAAGTTCTTTCCTGAAGCGTGGACCACTTATGCAATAACATATAAAGTTAGTGCTATTGTTGGTATACTGGAGTAAGGTGAGGGCTGCTCTTGCTAAACTTAATTGTGCATCAGAGCTTTCATTCACAGCCCCTGTCGCATTGTCATTGATGAAAACCTGAAGAAGAAGCACTATTGGTGCTGTGCAGAAAAGGAACACAAAGTTGACAGTTAGGAGCATAACTGTGACTTGTGTCATACTTGTTGAATTCTGGGTAGCCCCTGTCATTGCGATCCGTTGATGCCTTGCATAGAGAAGGCGGCCAATTATGAGAATGTTTGAGATCAACATGATGAGGAATGGGAAATAAGAAGCGACGAAAGAATCCAGCATTGGCCATGTATCTAACCAAAAATCATAATAATCCTCTTTAGCATAACATGTACTTCCAAGTAATCCTCCATAGTGCTTCAGGTGAAATGTCCAGAAGAAATGCACATTTAGGGCCACAATGGCTACAAGCATGCCCAGTAAACAGTATTTAGCCATTCTAACGGTACACAGATATTTCGCTCTGATTGGGAAATATACAAAAATTACTCGATCCAGTGTTACAGCTACCAGTATCCAGGCTGATGAATGTATGCTTGCGTACATCATAAACAAATACATCTTACATCCTGGATTTGAAAGGGTTTGCACATCAACATTGTTGTGAGTCAGATTTCGGATCCACTCTCCTAGCAATCCTGTGTAGAGAACAGTTAGATCTGCAACTGCCAGTGCAGTTAAGTATTGACTCCATGAAGATGATCTCATTTTCTTTCGCTGCAGTAATAGAATTGTCAACCCATTCCCGATGGTTCCTAGTATTATTAACACAGGAGAGATGTAGATCCAGAGAGCGACCTCAACCTGTCTTTCATATATCTGGCTTGGTTCTTCATCAGTAATATTTTGCACCATTGTTCCATTGCTGTTATGCCATGCATTATTGTATTGCACTTTGTTAGTAATTTGAGTTGGCTCGGAAGATTCCGGTATTTCCATTAGTGTAAAGCAATTATTTTTTGTGTGCGCTAATGGAGTAAGTTTCTTTAATTGTATTAGAAAGTGTTTGGGGTATCGTTAAAACTTTGTAGTCCTTCTTGAATTCAGAAAGTAGTCCCTCTTGAATTCAGAAAGTAGTCCCTCTTGAATTCAGAAATGAGCTTTCAAAAGAATATACGATTACTAAGTATTTGATTGTGATTAGTATATCAGCTCACTATTGAAATCTATTGTAATTTTTTTTCAAATTACCATATATCAAGATTAAACTAATTTTGAAGACAGGTTATTGAGACATGTGTTTTCCTGATTTCACTTTTGAATAGATCAATGTCATCATTATTAATATCTTGTTTCTGCTATTAAGATTATTCTTTTAAATGTGAGATTTTTGGATGTCAGTTTTGGGTGACAATTTTTGAATGTCAGTTTTAAATGTCCAGATGCTTCCTTATGATGAAATATTATCAAGCTACCAAGATTGTTTATCCTTTGATAATTGAATAAATTTTGTGTTTGTTACATCCTTGTTCTGTGTGGGTAGATTAATGTTTCCGTAGCGTAACATAAAGACATCTGTGACTTGTGGTGCGTCGGCTGAAAGGGAAACATATACAACATTAAAAATGCAATTGAAATGTTTATGACTACCATTTATTATTAAGTACGTATAGTCTATAGTGTAATAGTATAAACAATATATTAATATAACAATACTATGCAATTATGTTTGTAATATATTGCTTTTAAGCTCACGTATGATGATACCGAGAATCAAAAACAAAAAATAAGTTTTTTCAATGATGCTGTAGTTTTCGTTGCTACAAACAAGACAACACTATAGCACATTGAAAAAGTGCAGTTAGTATGAATTTGTCACAAATGTATGGGTTGTACCAGAAAATTAAGAATACATGAAAATTCCATGCAGAATTTCTCTCATGTAATAATAAACAGCAGATTATATGCAGTAATTCATATCTGATTCAAATGGTTGAAGTAGATATGTATCATTTATGACATAAAAAATATGTGCCACACATTTTATCCACAGTTGTTTTTTATCAACAGAGTTTGTTATCGTTTAGTAGGCAATTTATCTTATTTTCATATGTATGTATGTATCATATCTTAACAGGACAGTAGTAATTGTTTTGTTGTGCTGAAAAAAAAATAAAAAGGTAGAATTTGTTATCAATATTGTTAGTATCATACAGAATATCTAACATTAAAAGGGAAGTCAAGATACACTTTATCTAACATTTTAAGGAGGTCAAGCTACACATCATCTAACATAAGGGAGGTCAAGAGACACTTTATCTAACATTTTAAGGAGGTCAAGATACACTTTATCTAACATAAGGGAGGTCAAGATACACTTTATCTAACATTTTAAGGGAAGTCAAGATACACTTTATCTTACATTATAAGGGAGGTCAAGATACAATTTTGAAAGGTTTATTGTTTTGTAATATGCCTACTGTAAAATGTCATTATTTTACTTTAATTTGATCTTCATAGATTTTTTAGATTTAGCCTAAAATTGTGAAACAGACATTGTTTTAGATGCAATATGTGTGGATGAAACAAAGAGTGACATTTAAAAGTATTAAGAATGATTCACTGTTATCTTATTCATGATTATTTAAGAATCCCATTAAAATAGGACATTTATTTTATTATTCTCTTTATGAGATGAGAGAAGATATTTTATTGAGGCAACGGTTACTGTAACACTGTTAAATTTTGTAGATTTTAATTTATTAACCATTCAGTAATTTTTAGAGCCATATTGTTTATTACTTGTTTTTAACATGAATTATGATTTTACATTAGTAGTATACTAGAATTGAAGTATAAAAACAGTTATCACTTACAATGTACGAATATATATTGTAGACAAGATAAAAGTAGTTTGATAGCATATAAGCAAAAAATTATTATTCATTTGATAGTATAAAAGCAAATAAATAATCTTTTTTATGTCTCACTACATAGTATGTAGTTTGATAGGATATAGGCAAATTATTATTCATTTGATAGAATATAAGCAAATAAATAATCTTTTTTATGTCTCACTACATAGTTTGATAGGATATAGGCAAATTATTACTTATTTCATAGTATACACTTTAACCTGTATATATTGAACATTTTTGCCAAGAAAAAAATTCAGTGTTGGTAGGTGTTTACTACAGAGATGGTAATCTCTACAGAAGTCAGTAAAGTAAGTGCATAGGAAGACAGGTGTTCACTAGAGAGAGAGAGGTGTTTATTAAAAAGACAGACTTTACTGTATGAGCAAATGAAATTCTTTTATTAATTTGCATCTCGTATAACTTTTTATTCACTATTAATTGAGTGCTTCTGAGATTAAGTGTAGATTCCAAACAAATAAAAACGTAAGAATGAAACTAAAACACTATAAACTTTAAAACTATAAAGAATAACAACAGCCTTTTATTGTTTTTTTATATTTGATTTAAGCAGGATAATAACTGGGATAACTGGACACACAGTGACGTCTAGAAAATACTTTGTAATATTTTGTCCCTTTAAAGTTGCACTACATGAACTTCGGTCATAATCTAATGGATTTTCTTATATTTCATCTAATACAGGTATCAGATTTTATTTTGAGAGATTATACTCACACCTTTATACACTACTTTATGATATTCATAATCTCAACTTTCATCTTTACATTTGCATATGCAATGCTTAAGAAGAATGGTAATAATAATCTTATAAGCAGTTTTACAGCTTGATGAAATTGGAGAAATGGTCATCATTTTAGATTTTATTTATCACAGTATTTTTATTACTTTAGCGTATATGCTATTAGATCCAAAACGAGGTATTGTCGCTGCCATCATGATGTGATGCTAATTTGAGTAATGTAGTGCTCATTGCTAGTTCCGGATAATCCTGTAAGGGTATTAAATTATTCCATCAAACAAAAATTAGGGATTACATAACAAAGAAGTCATCTCCACCTTTATATTTGTCTGTCTATTTGTCGAAATAGGTTACCATGCCCCTGATATGACAGCCAATTTTGAAAATGTCTACCAATTCAGGGGTTTCATTAGCAGCAGGCAACAGGCGATTTTCACCGGTTGTTTTCACAAAATGGCCTGTTGTTTTTAGAGACTTTTCAACTTTTTCATGTTAAATTTATGATTTCCATTAATTTTGCCTGTTGTTTTCATTCATTCAGCCTGTTGTAAGAAATTCTAGTGAAACCCTGGCCAATTCCTATGTGACATTTTATGTTATTTTAATTCTATGAAAAGCAGTGGCTCTAATATCCTAATTTTTATGTCACCACATACCACCACAACAAGTGTTCAGCATTTGTGGTCTGTAACAAATGGTATGTAGTGACATTTTGCATGTTGATGCCTTGTTTAAAATGTATTCACTTATTATGTCTACAGCTTGACGAGATGTTCGTTGGAGTTTGCAATAGATTAGCATTGTTTCTGTGTACTTTTATAATGTAATTGATCATGCCCTATTGTCTTGAATTCCCTAATGCTAAAGGTTGTAATTTCATCAACAACTCGCTCGTGCTCAAATAAACTTAACAAGAAAGCCTAGGAGCAGGGTATTCCCACTACAGTTATAAATGGGATTTAATTGTTTTTCTGTGTAGTTAGTTTATACATTACCAATATTAATCATGGTTTATGAAAATTTCACACAGAATTTAAAAATGCTACTCGTATCTATTAAGAGCACCTCCATAAGAGAGCGAAGGAACCTTAGTGTTTTTGTAATCTAAAATCTGAAACATAAACTTCAGTTCCCCTCCAAAATTTTATTGATTCATAATTATTAGACTCCAGATGAAATCTGGAGTCTATTGTTTTCGTTAGTTTTCTTATTATTCTTTTTCTTCTTATTATTATTATTCTAAGCAAGTTTTCTCAATAACCGTAAGGTTTTCAGTAAAGTCAGTCATTTGGTCAATTTAGGTCCAGAATCTAGTTCCTCGGAAATTGGGTCAAATTTTTATCTAGGTCAAAAGTCAAGAACTAGGTCAAATCCAGTACTTTGTCACTTTTTTCGATTTTCTCGGTCGTCCTTCAATATTTTCGATCCAGTTTTTTTTCATTGTGTTCCTTATAAAAAAGTAGGAAACCTAAGATCGATTTAGTTTTTTGATATCTCAAACCGATTTCGAGATATCAGTGTCCGAAAACGAGGTCCAAAAAAAAGTTCTCCGAATCAAATGTCCAGGATATTAATCTTATAGGAAATTTTCTCAGGATTCCGAATCTGAAAACGAAATTTCGATCCCACTTCCGGTTCGGAAGTTATGGCGTTTTGAAAACTCAAAAATCGCTAAATTTGGTGCCCATGTTAAGTCAATGGGAAAAAATATTTTTTTGAAGTGAAAAATACCAAATATAGACTGAGTTCAGCTTCACATAATCAAAGCCTTTAAAAGAAGGGGACCTCAAAAGCCATCTAGCTTCAAAATTTGGACACCAAAGTGCCTAGGTCAAAATCTAGGTCAAATTCATAGGTTTTCCTTATTTTTTCGATTCTGACACTACACTTTAATTATATTCTTCGAAATTGTGTATACATGTAGCCAAGAATATGCTAATAGTGTTAGCCTTTTGCCGTCAGAAAGTATTTTGACCCACTTTTGAGATACGGTGTCCGAAAAGTAGGTCAAAATAAAAAATTCTCCCAATTAATATATGAGTTTTGAATTAGGGGAAGAATTTTGTCAGGAATCCGAATCTGCAAACCAAATTTTGATCCGACTTCCGGTTCGAAAGTTATGGCGTGTCCGAAAAGTAGGTCAAAACAAAAAATTTCCAAATTTAACGTATGAGTTATGTATTAGGGGTAGAATTTTGTCAGGAATCCGAATCTGCAAACCAAATTTCCATCCGACTGCCTGTTCGAAAGTTATGGCGTTTTGAAATTTCGAGAAAAATCGATCTGATGGTATCCTGATAGAAAGTCAAGAGTAGAGAAGAAAATATTGAAAAATTCATCCATCCTTCCCATCTGATCCTATCCTACTCTTCCTATCCATCCTTCCTTCGTATCTTTTCCTTCCTATCCTTTCTTCCTATTCTATTCTATCCTATCCTTCTTTCTTATTCTATCCTATCATTCTTTCCTATTCTATTCTTTCCATCTTTTTCTGGATGACTCAGTTTATTCTGGATGACTCGGCTTATTCTGGATGACTGGGCTTAAAAAAGTCTAGATCTGGAGTCTGAAATTGAACTTCGTTCAATTTCCAAAGTCTAGTTTTTTTTGTTTTTATATTATTTGTTTGTGTTCTTTAGAGCTGACCACTGACAAATACCTGCACAATCCTTTGTGGACCTAATATATTTGGAGTATTTTTAATGTCATCGTAATTTATGCGTTTTTCATTTCTATTGTTGAAGTTGTTGTTGAAAAGTACAGGTCTTATTTAATGAGATATCTACATGCGAGTCAAATGTAGTTGCCCCTTTAAGAGGCATTTATTTGTTAGAAATTCATTGCAATATTTCATGAGATAGAAGATGCCTTGATTGCTGTGATCTCAACATGGCTATCACTTATCATTAAAGGCTAG